CCTGCAATTTTTGTAACTCCTTTTTTGTCTTAGGAGGAAGGAGAACTCCTGTATAGCTCTAAGTTTTTCATCATCTACTCTCATCTCTTCCTTATTAAAAACAGCCCCAAATATTTAACCTCTTCTTGTCTGTATTGAATTTTGTCTTTATTAAACTTTACCCCCTTTCTCTAGTCCTTTCTCTAGAGTAGAAACAGAGTAGAGTAGAAACAAAGTAAAGCAGAGTAGAAATAAGTGTGGTGTAGGGTAGGGTAGAGCAGTCTAGGTTCATAGTATTAAAATGTAGAATCAGAGTAGATTAGATTCATAGTAAAGTAGAGTAGAAAGTATTGTGGCGTAGTATAGTGTAGAGTGTAGATTCATAGTATTGAAATGTAAAATCAGAGTAGATTTAATTTATAGTGAAGTAGATTAGAAAGTAGTGTGGTGTAGAATAATGTAGATCAGTCCAGGTTCATAGTATTATAACGTAGTTAAAGCGAACCGACCTTCAAACTTAGCCAAAAAATAACTTTGTTCAAGGTTTATTTGTTGTTTTCCTTTCCGAAAAGAAGAGAACCAAAGATATCGCTTTGTTTTTCTCCAAAGTTATCCAACGGATAACCTTCTAGTTTAATTATCTCGCCGTTTAAAGAGCTTTAGGAAAAAAAAAACAGGTAAAATCGAGCGATGAAATTCGCTTGGCAAGCGACCAAATTTAATACACTAATATTTATCAAACGCCAATTCATTTCAAATTTCAACTTGTAGACGATGGATTTCTCATTTACAACCAAACTACAACACTCGTTAACTCGTAAATAACTTAGAAAAACTAACGACTACCCCACAATGGCCTTTTACTTATAGCAACAACAAATAAATTTCGCAATTTACACATCATTTGCACCGTTTATTCGAAGAGAATTAAATAGATAACAAACCCTCACCGTTTTCGGTTCTGCATTCTATAAAATATATCCAATTTGTACGAATCGCGGGACGTAATGGGGATTTTCCGCTTTTCCTCACTCTGTTCTCGATGAAAAATCATATCGTAGCTTTTGTCCAAGTCCCAAGCTTTCTAAAATAATACAAAAAAAACGTTAATATCTCTATTAATATACAAATAATGGTTCGAATTCAGTGAATAAACGACTCAAAGATGTATCTAATCTACTCTTTTTCACTTTATATTACTCTAATCGCTCTGTTAAACACCCCTAGCCCACTCTAATCTTTTCTAATCCGCTCTTATTTACTCTACTAGTCTACTCCTCGATTAATCCGCTCTCCTTTCTCCACTACTCTACTTCTCTTTTTACCCACTAGTTGGCTCTTCTTTATCTACTACAACTCTACTTCTCCTCCTGTCCACTGCTCTCCTTTCTCTACTACTATACCTCTCCTATTCATTAGTCTGCTCTCCTTTCCCTACTATTCTACTCTACTTTTCGACCTATTCACCGGCCTGCTATCCTATCTGTACTACTCTACTTCTTCTTTTACCCACTAGTCTGCTTTCCTTTCTCTATTCTACTTCTCCTATTCATTAGTCTGCTCTTCTTTCCCAACTATTCTACTCTACTTTTCCTCCTATTCACCACTCTGCTATCCTATCTGTACTACTCTACTTCTCCTTTCATCGACCAGTCTACTCTCCTTTCTCTATTCTATTCAATATCAACTTTGCCCCACAACGTTTTACTCTATTCTACAGCAAGTAGATTTTTATATTGATAATTACAGGATCGCATTCGATGGAGAACGGATTCAAAATTTGCCCGGTGGGTTGCTGTAGAGTCTTCACAACGTTGTCACCGTTGGTGTTCGAATTGACGAAGATGTCTCCGATTTCCTCATCTTCTTCATCATTATCATCATCGATTTCTTCCTCTTGGATTCCATCGGTCTCGTCGCATCGTTGGATGGGTTTTGCGAACGATCTACGATTGTAACGGGTCGGTTAACTGATTTAATCGATGGTTAAATGATTTAATCGATAGTTAAATGATTTAATCGATAGTTAAGCGATACTGACCTCTTCGGTGGTTGGTCGTTTGGTGGAATTTTATGTCCCAACGTGCCGTCATTAGATTCTCGATGGGTTGTGGACAGTTTTTCAACAAAGGCGGCCTTTTACCCATGTGCACTGACCACATTATGCTAAAAGCGCTGCTCCCTCTGTTGTAAAAAGGCTTCTTTCTCGATAGCAACTACCACAGGATGATCCCCCAGCTGAAGATGTCGCATTTTTCCGTATAAGTCGACGAATTAAACACCTAGAATAATAAATAATAATAACGAAACAATCTTCGTAAATCGATTAATAATCGTACTTCGGGCGCCATCCAAGCCGCAGATGCTTTGTTGTTAGTCATGTAAGTGTTTTTTTATCAGCAGCAGTACCGAAATCGCATATCTTCAAATTAACTTCGCCGTTTATCAGCAGCAAATTCTGAAGGTCTCGAGGAGGTAATTATTCGAACCGTTGTGTGATCTAAATTAATTAAAATTACACTCACCTAGTGCGATGTATAATCTGTTAACGCCGCTTTTTCCTCGGCCGTTTTTACCAAAGAAGTCCAAGGCTTGGAATTGTCCTGTAGGGGAGCCTCCAACATTCGCTTGAGTTCGTTTAGTTTCTGCGCCATGATTGCACTGAAACGATACCGGTCGTTATTTATTAAATGGACTTTGTGTTAATTACGTGCGAATTAAAAATTTAGAGAAATTTAGAGAAAAAAATTTAGAGAAAAAAATTAAGAGACTTATTATACTAATTATACACCCGGTTAAAAAAACAGCACAATTTTTTTTTCGTGACAGTTTCTAACCGACATTGACGTTAATGACAATTCGTTTGTCAGCAGGTGCGTTCGTTTGACAGTAGGTCCCATAGAGAAAGAAAGATGTCTTTTATTTTGTCTATGGGTTTGTAATTTCGAATTTGTTATTTTTGCATAGATCTGTAAAAAAAAACTTTATGACCTACAGGAAGGTTCACTCTATCAGATGCGATTCATATTATATCTCAAAATTAAGTAAAAATTGAGATTTGTACATCGAAAAATCGGGCTTATTTTCATTGCTGCCAACTGAAATTGGTTTACCAAATCTCAACGCCCCTCTTAACTAGTTGATTGATCTAGTTATCTGCATGTTTATGCTAGTTTATGTATGCAATTAAAGCATTTGTCATAGACAAAATAAAACACATCTTTCTTTCTCTATGGCATTTGTATTCTTATAAATCAAAAATTATATTTTTAAAATCTTCTTTTTTCCTTATGAATGTTATTGGATTGGCAGTTGACTTGACATTTATGACATGTTGACAAGATGACAAGAGTGAATCGGTGAATTAGGAATTTCAACAAATAATGGACTGTAAACATAAAAAAATGCAGTTAGTATAACTTAATACAAGTTAGTAAATCAAGAAAACCTAGGAGAACCACACAAGCAGCCAGGCAATCAATTTTAGAGCAATTCACATTTATCACCATTACTAAAATTCACGTCAGTTTAAGGTTAGAAGACTAAAAGAAAAATTTTACATTTTATGGAAAAAAAATCATCAATATAAGGAGCTAAGAAGGCCTAACCATTGCTCAGGAGGCCTCTCTTGTTTCCTTGAATTAAATTTTTTAAACAGAAACAGTAAACTTCTCCTTTGTAGTATTCCAAATGCAAGTAAAACATTCTAACAAAACGAAGAAAATTGTTGAAAAACTGGAATAAAAAACTAAAACTATTTGAACAGTAAGTATTTACCGCAATGTTCAAATAAAATGAGAAATCTTTTAATAATTTTCATTTAATTAATTCAATTCATGTTACTTTAATTTTATATATTTTATATGCTACTTAATTCGTATGCGTATTAATTTTAAGACTAATGTCCGGTTTCACCAACGACAAATAAGACCTTACTCGATGAATGAATTTAACTGCCCAATAAAAATACACTATTTCTGTTTTACCAACAACAAATAGCGTTATTCGACGATTAAATTGGCGTTTAAATTAACCAAAGAAATTTGGACAGTTAGTTTTATTTGATGTTTATTAACCTCAAATATGAATTTGCAATATGTAGTAAGTGTTTTTCTGATTGAGAATTTTTATTTTCATTTATTGGTTGTATTTTTAGTTTGTTTGAGAATATCGGGTAACAGGTAAAAGATAATACAAATATGTACTTTTTAAGTTATTTCAAAATTGTTTATTAGATTTTTAGCATCATCTTCATCATCATCTTCAAAATCATCTTATGAAGATATTCATTATAGATGACCTCGAATTGTTTTAGAAAGAAGGATCGTTATTAAATTTTCCTTCTCTTCCTAATTTACGACTAATTTTTGCTTTTTTTCCTCTTTTTCGATCCATTTCAAAATCACGAACTCTCAAACTCCAAATATAATAAAATAACAATATTCACATGTCACAGTAACAAAAACCAAAAAATAACCTGAACAATTCAGTTCGAAATCTTCTTTTTCTTTTGGAAAGATTTGAATTCTATAGGTTGTTTTACCAGAAATATTTGTTTAAACTGCTAAATAGCTAACTAAAGATTAAAAGTGTTGGTGAACCGTCACAATATTTAACTGGAGATAACTTCAATAACTTCAATAAATTCATTAAGTTAATTAATTAGTTAACAAAATTTTGGCAATGCTTTTAATTACCCAAAGATATGTGACATTTTTACATTGACATTCATTTTAATTTTAGAAAGTCTTCCGAACAGCCTCAATTCCTTTTACTCGTAACATATTGTATGCGGATACAGGTAAGTAAATTTTTATTTAGCTATACTTCTATAGCCATTTGTTTACCATTCAATTAAATTTAAGTTTTTTTTTAGGTTGAAAAACGGGAAGTACAGTGCACTAGCTAAAAGAAAACACCGCGAAGAGGTATAACTAAGAAAACCACATTAAAAATTACCCTAATCTGCAACGAACAATTCGTAAATCGAAACCAGAGGAAGGAAAAGACCCTTTCATCGGATGCATCCATCGAAGTTGCTTCTACGACCAGCTTCGAACGCAATGGCGACGCGAAAACTCGCCGACTACGCGGGTTTCAGGAGAGTCCTGGACGAATCGAAGAGCATCGCAGTCCTTACGGGCGCCGGCGTCTCCGCCGAATCGGGAATACCCGTTTTCCGGGGCGCCGGGGGCTTCTGGAGGACGCACAGGTCGCAGGATCTGGCGACGCCCCAGGCTTTCGCCGCCAATCCATCTTTGGTGTGGGAGTTTTACCATTACAGAAGGAACATCGCCTTCAATGCCCAACCGAACGAGGTAAGTTGGGAGTTGAGGAAACCGTTTCGATACAGGTGGTCCCAATGAAAAGTAGCCCCTTTAGTGAGCTTGTAATTTTTAAAAAACTAATCATAAAAACTAGCGGTTTTCGCAGATATATTTTATTTTTCTATAATTTGTTGTTACAATGACACCAAAAATTTTGTATCGTCTGTACAAGGTGTATCATAAAAATCCCCTCTTTTAAATTCAAATTATCCAAATTTTATGAAATAGGACATCTTCTTTTGTAGAATAACATGTACAAAAAATACATTTTTGAAAAGTAAAGGAGTATATCTTTCAAAATACCTCTGTATATACGGGGTGTTCCATTAAAAAAAATGGTTACTGTGGATTTAAAAGAGGAGATTTTAATAAAACACTCTGTATTGGTAAGGCGTAATTTCTGTATCAATGTAACAAAAATTATAATAAAATAAAACATACAGGGTGTCCCAATAGTGCGGTAAAGTCCATTTACTCAGTTATTATAATAGATACGAAAAAATGGTAAATAGGAAAAATGTTAAGCACCTTTAGGCGCACAATTTAAAATTATTTCGAAATATACTGGGTGGCCCATAAATCGAAGCCATACCAAACATAACTTTTTTTAAAGGCAATGATATATTTTTTATTTCATATTCGATTTTAGCTCGTTTTCACGAGTTTCTCAATATAAGATTTCATATTACTATACTGAGTATTTAAAAAGTTATGGCCATTTTTATGTTCAAATCGACATGATTTCAAGGCCCTGTATATCAGAATCTGTATCAGATAATGTGAATTTTTCTGTGTCGGCAGTTTTTGAAAATGGTCTATTTTCACAATAATTAGGTATATTTTGACAAAATTGCAATTTGTATACAGGGTGAGTCAAAACGCAAACATAATAATTACTCGCTTAATTTAAATGGAACACCCTATATTAATAATATCCAATGGGAAGTCTATTTCTTACTGAATCTTTTTCCATAACATTTCCCTATACCTAACTGTCACCCTTTCTGAGATATTTTCAATTTTATTAAAAAATGTCCAGTTTTTGATGTTATAATTTCATTTTGATCTAATTACCAATGATGTTGTCGACCTTTTTTGCAAAATAATAGTAGAAAATGTAATATCGATTAATTAACGATCATTAACTACCCGAAATATTTGGTAATTTTTAAATTAAACTCTATATTATCATAATTTTAATTTAATCTAGTTACCACTATGACGTCATCATCTACGAACTATGCGAATTTTACTTATTGAACTCGTGTCACTGTAAATTATAGAATAACTAAAAATTTAGGGTACCTGCTAATGATATTTGATTAATCATTAATCGATATTTAATTTTCTACTATTATTTGGCAAAAAAAGTTCGAAAACGTCAATGGTAATTAGATTAAAATGAAATTATAACATCAAAAACTAGACATTTTTTAATAAAATTGAAAATATCTCAGAAACGGTGACAGTTAGGTATAGGGAAATGTTATGAAAAAAGATTCAGTAAGAAATAGACTTCCCATTGGATATTATTAAAATAGGTTGTTCCATTTATATTAAGCGAGTAATTATTATGTTTGCGTTTTGACTCACCCTGTATACAAATTGTAATTTTGTCAGAATGTAACTATTTTTTGTGAAAATAGACCATTTTCAAAAAGCGTTGACACAGAAAAATTCACATTATCTGATACAGATTCTGATATACAGCGCCTTGAAATCATATCGATTTGAACATAAAAATGGCCATAACTTTTTAAATACTCAGTATAGTCATATGAAATCTTATATTGAGAAACTCGTGAATACGAGCTGAAATCGAATATGAAATAAAAAATATATCATTGCCTTTAAAAAAAGGTATGTTTGGTATGGCTTCGATTTATGGGCCACCCTGTATATTTCGAAATAATTTTAAATTGTGCGCTTAAAGGTGCTTAACATTTTTCCTATTTACCATTTTTTCGTATCTATTATAATAACGGAGTAAATGGGCTTTACCGCACTATTGGGACACCCTGTATGTTTCATTTTATTATAATTTTTATTACAGTGATACAGAAATTATGCGTTACCAATACAGGGTGTTTTATTAAAATCTCCTCTTTTAAATCCACAGTAACCAATTTTTTTAAATGGAACACCCCGTATATATAGAGGTATTTTGAAAGATATCCTTTACTTTTCAAAAATGTATTTTTTGTACATGTTATTTTACATAAGAAGATGTCCTATTTCATAAAATTTGGAATATTTGAATTTAAAAGAGGGGATTTTTATGAAACACCTTGTACAGACAATACAAAATTTTTGGTGTCATTGTAACAAAAAATTATAGAAAAATAAAAATTATCTGTGAAAACCGCTAGTTTTTATGATTAGTTTTTTAAAAATAACAAGCTCACTAAAGGGGCTACTTTTCATTGGGACACCCTGTATAAAGTTCGTACGTTTTAAAATGTCGCAACGTTGCCGGGTTGTAATTGAAATCCTTTAAATTACCGCTATATTAAATTTAAGCTTATGTTTGCTTTTAGTGTTGGCAAATTAAAAATGTCGCAATTAGTAAAATTTTAACGTAAAAAAGAATATAGGACTGGAGATACGAACTTGCGAGTATTAATTTAATTGAATATTACAATATACACCAGAAACTCACAAAAAAACGCTTAGAAAAACGTACAGAAACCGCATATAAAACTTTCTGAAACGGACGTAAAGCACAAAAACTAAAAACTTGAAAAAACTCGTGAACTTGAAGAAAAAAAACAGGACAAGGCAAAAATCGCTGCGAAATATTTAGAACTCTCCAAAACCGTTTAGTTAGGACATTCCAGAATCATTGACAATCAGAAATCAGTGACAAAAACAACAAATTTTGGTCAAAACCTGTCAACTACAAATATCGGATTTTCGCGCGCCGTTAAAATACCCTAGCCAAATGGCAGAATAAACATTTGCACCAAAGACATTTTGAATTGCATGGATATTACTAACAATAAGAATGACGTCATTGTCATTTTAAAACGTACGAACTTATTAAAAAAAGGACATTCGCGCTCGCTAGGCAATGAGGTCACAAACCAACCTGTTGCCTGGTTGAAATGAAAATCTTGATGTGACAGATATATTTAATTAGTAGATACACAAGGCCGGTTCTAGCATGGTCATAGGGAAAACAATGTGTTAGAGAGAGAGAGAGGTATACCAATGTGTTAGAGAGAGACAGAGAGAGGTGACATTTGTCAACGTCACACACATGACATCTGTCAACGTCACATCTGTCATCGTCACTCACTCTGTGACATTACAGGCAACTCTCCTGACACATGAAACATTAAATTTTGAGAAAAAAAGTGTACTAACCTGGGATTTGAACCCTGGTAGCTTGTGGTGGAGAGGCGAGTCCCTAATAGCTGGACTAAGGAGACGTCTTAGTAAAAATGTAAAAAGTTGAGTATACAGTGCATTTCTTTAATGTCCCCCCCCCTTTTATTTTTTGAACGGATCAACTTAGAAAATTGAAATTTGGGATAATGAAACTAATGCATGATTACTATATTTTGGAGTAAAATTGACAGACGAAAATTTCAAGATGGCGACTGGGCGCCATCTTGGAAAATAAATTTAAATGGAAAGGGGGGTCTTGTGATACATCATTTTGAAGCTCCTGACAAATACTCTACAACCCTGGAATATAAAGTCAATATCTGCACCTGCTACAAAATGGCGGACATTTAATAATTACCTGAATCAATCGACGTTTAACGTTATAATTTGAGAAAATAAGCTGAGTTCTGTTCAAAAAAAGCTCGAAATGGTTGCCTTGAACTTCTTGATACAAGAACAGCCTATCCGAACATTTTCGAACATAGTAACGTCGATATTTTTACAAATATCTGTAATTATTTCTCGTATATCCAATATTGAAGCAGGTTTAATTTCGTACACATTTTGCTTCAAATAGCCCCATAGAAAAAAGTCTAAAGGTGTCAAATCTGGTCAAATTCTGGTCAAATCCATTCCGTAGGACCTCGACGACCAATCCAACGATCCAACGACCAGGGAAAATAGCATCCAAATAGTTCATTACTTGTCTGGAGTAATGTGGTGGTGCTCCATCTTCCAATGGACGAGAATTGGCCATTTTAGAGTTAGTTGACGTGCTACCTAACTGCAATGAGAACTAAACAACCGAAAACTAAATGAAAATACTTTGAACACCAGGAAAATCGAAAACTAAAGAGAATATTTTGAACACTAGGAAAACCAAAAACTAAATGAGCATATTTTGACTAAACAATTAATGTTCGTTGTCGTACTTAAATTTTTTGGAATTTTTTTAACCAAAAATAACCTGTCAAACCTTATCGGTTTGCTGGGATTGCTGTTTGCCATAGAAAAACAAATATTTCTAGAAAAATTGATATTATTTTGTTTGTATTCAGGTAATTATTAAATGTTCCGCCATTTTGTAGTAGGTGCAGATATTGACTTTATATTTCAGGGTTGTAGAGTATTTGTCAGAAGCTTCAAAATGATGTATCACAAGACCCCCCTTTCCATTTAAATTTATTTCCCAAGATGGCGCCCAGTCGCCATCTTGAAATTTTCATCTATCAATTTTACTCCAAAATATAGTAATCATGCATTAGTTTCATTATCCCAAATTTCAATTTTCTAAGTTGATCCGTTCAAAAAATAAAAGGGGGGGGGGACATTAAAGAAATGCACTGTATAAAGTAATATGTCGCGGAGGGCGCGGTTCACGGGGTGGTTGATGTCTTCGATGGCTGGGGGGTGGGGGGGTGGAGTAGGCGGGTGGGACAATTCAATTGGAATCTTTTCGGAATACCCTGCCCAGAAGACAGTCTAGACAGTCTTTTCAAATAGTATCGAATATGTTCAGAGTGTTGTTGGTTTTCATCGCTGCATCGACAGCGACGATAACTACTAGCGATGAGGAATATGCGAAAAAATTTTTGCAACAT